CAGATGAAGAACCAAGAAAAAGAAATATCTTTTCTTCTCCACAAGCACAAATGGCTATTAGCACTATCCTCCATGATATTAAAAAAAAAAATTCCTCTCAATGGATTAAAATCTTATCAGAGAAATAAAAAATCCCAGCAGAGAAACAGAAACAATAAAAAACTGTTAACTGATTCAGCCAAAGAACATCAGTCACTGGGTGAAAAGACCACAGGATATTCACATAGTCTCAAAGTTATCATCTCACAGATTACTTAACAAATGCAAACAGAAAAAGGTAACTTTAAAAGGGAGGAATCTGCCAGACAACATCTAAACCAAGTAACTGGAACTCACCATTACCAGTAAAGGGACAAACATGTATGTGATACAATGTATTATTACTGTACTGTAACATTACAATTTTTCTATAGGTTTGAAATATATTCCAAAAAGTTAGAGGGAAATACAAACAAAAGGAAAAAATGCCAAAAGGCATACTATTATAAATCAGAGAGGGGAAGAATTAAAACAGCTGTCTTGGGATCTATTCATGTCCCTTACCAGGAAGAAACTGAGGGAGAAGTAGGTGATGGAGTTTAATCTACTTGTTAATATGCTGATAACTGGTTCTCCTGGTAATTATGCTAATGATTTTTGTTAGGAGGAAAGTCCTTCGCTAATGAATGCTCTCAGTGGGATGTCCTGCTGTTAAGGATGCTTACAGTAAACTAACCCGGAATCTATGAATTTATGAGGGATAGCACATTGGAGAATATCATGTAAGCTACACAACCTTGGGGTACAGAATGCATAAGTTTCAAAATCTAAATGCTCGCTGCTATTAAGTAATACCTAAACTTCCTCATTTAAAGATCTCATCTACTCTGTGCCAGAAAGTACATGTCTGATGCAGAAAGGAAGGACCTATGGAATCATGGAGAGTCCTAAATCTCTCCTATGTTCACCTATGCCTTCTGATTGCATCTATCTTTGAAACTATTAGTAAAGCTGGATTCTAGGTAAGATCTCTAATATATGAGTCTGAGTTGATGATATGATTCTTTGGATTGGCTTACAAATAAAAGATGAAACTATCAAAAATAATTACAATCTTAGAATAACAATAGTATTAATACTATTACTTTAGTAGAATAAGTGAATTAAATGTTAATTTGACACAAATAATTAACACAGTATACTTTCAGGACAAATAAGGCATCTTTTACCCTGTGGCAAATTTCTTTTTAAGCATTCATAATGGAAAAAACTTAACAAAATCATAGTATGTGAAATTACAGAGAAAAATCTCAATAAATTTTTGAAAAGCATATATAACCTGAAATACCATAAAATTCTAATTAATATATGACTATATATGACAAACATGCAACCAAGGGGTGTGTGCAGTCTAGAACACGTCTAAATATGTCCTTTAAGTTAAGACTTTGCCTACTTTAGAGTTGTGAAGTTCAAATGATATGATATAGAGTCGACCCTTGAACAAAATGCCTTTGAACTGCATGAGTCCACATACACGAGGATTTTTTTCAAGAGTAAATACAATAGTACTACACAATCCAAGGTTGGTTGAATCTGCAGATGCAGATCCACAGATACTGAGGTCCCACACTAATTTATACCCAACTATTACCCAGATTTTCAACTGTACAGGGGGTCAGAGCCCCAAACCCCATGTGTTCAAGGGTCAACTGTAGTTATATTATTTTGATAATGTATTACTTTACTTTATTTTATATAATGCTTCTAAAGATCATAATCTACACCATTTTCCTATCTGTGATCCACTAATGACAACCATTTAGAAACAGGCCATGATGGAGCAAGAGATAAGGCAATCCTAACAGCTGATAAAGCTCAAAGGATGCTTTTAATAATAGAGAGTAGAAGATGTAAAAATAGAAAAAAAAAATGCAACAAAAGGTGAAAGAGGTTTAAAATAGAGAAGTAAAAGGTAGCAGGCAGAGCAAGATCTCACATGATATACAACTTAACACTGCATAGGAATATTCAGCATAAGGAAAATTAATGGTCTCAGAGAGGACAAAGTAAAAAAAAACAAAAAAGAGGTAACTGGGTATATTTAGCTGTAAGGAATTAAAGAATCTGAAAACTTGTTACACATCTTTGGGCCTTTTTTTCCTAGTGGGCAAGTTTCACGCTTATTATATTACTTAATCCAATCTTTAAGAAAGTAGAGACTAGATATATTTCAGAAGTTCTCATCTTAATGAAGCAGCACCGTGAAATAGCTAACAGTATCAGCTTTATAATTAGTTACAGTTAGTCCACCACCTAACAACCATTTGACTTTGAACAAGCTGCTGAACTTCTCTAAGCCTCAGTTTCCTATTCTGTAAGATAGGGATAATAGTATCTATTTCATGAGATAGTGAATATAAAACATACAATATAGTGCCTGGCACATAGTAAATAATAAAAGCTAGTTATATTACCTTTATTGTTGAGAAAAAGATTTCTTGGACATTTTGATTAATTTCACTGTATGCTTTAATTTTACCATCTCTTTCTCTAGCTAAATAACTTAGGGATCTGTAAAAGTCAATAAGCTACTTTAATATCCAAAGAAAAAGGAACTGTTTCAAAAGGCAGGGTATATACTAGTATCAAAGTTAAAAGTGTGAATACTATTAGAAAAGGTAGCGAAGATTTCTTTCGTATTTATACATTACAGTCTATAAAACTGGAATCTTTCATTTTATAGTATCATAAAGATCGGGCCATTTTTTTTCCCTTGGCCAGAAAAAACAAACTCCCATTTCTAAAAATATATCAGGTTTTCTTCTTAAGGAAGTCTTCTTGCAACAAAATACCCTATTATCATATAAAGCAAGTATAGGACAGTATGTCATGAACAAGACTAAAAATGTAATGGTATATAAGCCAAGGAAAAAATTCATTTGGAAAAATGAGTAAGAAGAGGTTTTTCTCCAAATTTAATTGAGACTGTGAGCTTTCTGTTTTGTGACTATTTCTTTGATACTCCCATGTACACAATAAACACTCCCTTAAGAAATTACAAATGACCTTTCAATTTAAAAAAGTGCTTTATGTACTTGCTTCTTTTAGAAAAGTAGACCAATTTTGTAAAAGAACCACGGATGAAGAATGAAATTTGACATGTAAGGAAAGCAAACATATAGACTTACTCTTTTTCTGGTTTTTATACTTAGATTTAATCCAGTTTTTAAATACCATTACAAAAGGAGTTGAAGGCAGAGTATCCAAATAAACCACGCTAACCACTGACAATAACTCAAGGAATATATATACTATTAATTTTATGAATTCAAGGACTATACCAGGCTAGGAATTTTAGCTTTATATGAGGCAACAGTTCCATAGTGGTCTTTTATAAACACAAGGAAAAACAGAAACAAAACAAACAAAAACAATGATCATGACATAGTAATCTTGTAAACCTATGAACTTTAATTATCACTGAGTCTGATTTTCTACTGCTGATGAGGTTTAAGAATGACAGAAAATAAGTTTCACATATAGATAAAATAGGACAACTTTTCTTTCTAATTAACTAAATTAAATTCATTATTGAGAGTTATGGAAGGGAAGTATTTTAAAGATTAATGAATACCTTTTCTTCCCAAACTCCTGATATACTGTACATAGGCTTATTATATTATAAGCCATCCTTTCCATGGTAAAATAAAATCAGCAATTATATGGTAGCTCAAAGCCTCTGAATAATTTAGGACTACAAAAATGACTATTCAGAAGAAATTACAGGGAAAAATTTAGGTAAGGAATGTAATTTAGTAAGGAGCTTGGTTAAGAGAAAGTGAAAAACAACGGCATAAACCATAACTTCCTACCTTAGTGTTATCCTCAAAAACAAAAATCTCTAAATATTTTATTTCTCACAGGAATTTTATGGAAAAAAAAGAAAAAGTCTAAATGATGTGTAATACAAAGTGATACAAATAATAATTAAGAGTCAAATACAGAGTATTTTGAATGAATGACTGGACAACAAGGGTATTAAAACTTATGAGATATCAAATGGATTCCATGAATTTTACAGTCCTGTGAAAATAAACTTTAAAACCCCCCACAAAAACCATACCTCACACCAAAGAATCATGTCCTACATCGGATTCTATTCAGATTAACTATGATAACTCTGTCTTATAGGACACTTTATCATCCTTCAAAAGGAAAAAATTGTGAGAAGCTTTGATAATCTAACTCAATTAAAATATTGTTAGAGATTTCTCTTGCTCTTTTATCTATCTCAAAACTTAGAAGTTCTACCAAAATGTAATAGTCAAACATACATGCAAAATGACCCTGCAATTAAGGTAATTGCTGGTACCAAATGTCGTTTTTCAGTACTGCAATAAAACAGTCTCCCAGACATTTAATAGTATGTCATTTGGTAAATGAAAGTTTCCACAAAGTAAGAACAGAGAGAAGACCTAAAAATTATGCTAGTGAAGAGTTTGGCTGAAATAAAACAAAAATATGGATCATTTTGGTCCAATACTAATTTTATTTCAAGTTACTACAGAGCTGAATAAAATGCTGACACCACCACACAAAAATTTATTGAGTTGGCAATAGGCAAAGCATGATGTCAGCCACCAATATCACCATCCACATTACCAAACAGCATGAACTTAACTTAGATTTGATCTTAACTTAGACTTCATGCCTAAAGTTACAGTAAAAATAAAAATCTTAGGTATGAAGCATTATTAAACATAGATGAGTTTAGTTTGGCATAGTTTTGACTCAAATTAGTCTAGTACTTTAAGAACTTCAGTAAAAAACATAGAATAATGCAAACAAACATATTACAATTTTCTAAACATGCTACATTCTTCACCAAACAGACCCACACAAATAAGTCTTGGTCAACTCACAATTATATTCAAATAAGTAACACCAAACACACACAGAATGCAGGCTGACAGGAGACATGGAAACACACATATATACACATCCACACAATTTCTTACCTTCATGGCATGAATTTCTTCGAGCAATCGTTGTGCCCGTCTTTGGTTTTTCAACAGTGCATCTTCGGTACCCCTGCAAAAGACACATTATAATATGTGGCCAGAAAAACCATTTATTTTAGACTAGTATCATAATGAAAAGTCTCTCCATTTCTTTTAGAAGAGCTTAATAACTCTCTAAGTAACAAACATTCTGTTATCCTGCACTGCCCTCTCCCGCATCCGACACATACCCCAATTCCATCAACAAACCCAAGCTTTTGGCAAAAATAAGCACTGTCCAGGTATTATATTATGACTATTACCACTGATAGACAGTTTGCCTTCTAATTCCTTAATGGGAAAGCCAAATAATACTTTCTAATCAATTGATTAATAGCACATTGTATTTCATGTAAGTTTTATAAGCTACAGTTAAGTTTCATAAGCTACAAGGTTGGATATAATTTTATTAAATGAAAACTGTTCTCTGGAATTAAATAAATACATAAAGATGTTAAATACACGATTATATCAGAGAGAACGGCTATCTTATGAAACATTTACAAAAGAAAAAACAAGAAATTAATCAGAAACAAAACACATTTGAAGACTTTGTAAGTACTCATGCTTAAAGCATAAGAACTATAAATAACATACTTTTTCTCTAATACTAGTGATACCAAAAATACAAAACATTATTTTTTCAAAAAAATTAAATGGAACACAATGTTTTGATAAACACTTCCAAAAGGTCCTAAAGATTTCAAATTAATTATCAATTCAAGGAATAAGGTGATATGAAATCTTTATAACTGATTAAAGGTATCACTTGATTTGTTAAACTATATCAACATCTTAAAAAAATAACTACTAATAACATAAAATACATGAATAACCCCAAAGGATTTTCACTTTGAAAAAGCCACAAGAAGAGTTTTGAGAAAACAGAATTTATCATATATTTTAATTGAATATGGTCCAAACTATGTAAGGACATGCTGACAGAGCACATTTTCTCTCACTCAGATCCCATCTACATATAAAACAAAGTGCTGTATGAGTAAGACATTTAATTACTCCTCTAGGTCCTACCCTCAAAGTTTGTAAATACTGAATAAAGACAACTTTTGACATTTTATTAGTCATAGGACCATGACTTTAAATGACTAACTTTTTTGACTTCAGTCTGCCAACACTCCTGACAAGTTTTCGGATAACCAAAACTCGGATTCTCTTCACTTCTTTTCTCATCTTCACAACCTTCAAGGAATAAAGCCAAAATTAGAGAGATTCTTAATTTAAGAAGAAACATACCTTATTCTGAGTATCAATATTATAGAATAAGTCTACCACTTTAATCAAAGCTTTATTTAACTATACTCATAGTTTGATGAAATCAAACTTCTTCCATAAACAGTGAAGGAATAAGAAATCAACATTCTAAATATGCGTCTGAGGATTTAGGAGAAACAACTTATTAAAAAAAAAAAAATCACAGCATTCCCAGTGGCTAGTATTTTAAATTACACTTATATCTTGTTGGGCTTGGAACATAATAAATTGTGAGCTCCCTGACATCAGAGACCACCACATTTATCTTTGAATCCTTGTGGTTTAAAACAAAGCTTCACCCGTAATTGTAGGAATTTAATTTACTGAATAGGCATTTGTATTAACAAAAGCAAATGCATGAAAGTGACTTTATTTTACTTGTTTTTAGCACACCCCTTTTATTTATATTCAGTAACAAATTATTTCAAGCATAACTCAAAAAACACAAGGGCACACACGCAGGTGCGCGCGTGCACACACACGCACGCGCGCGCACACACACACACACACACACACACACTTTAAATCGCCCCATTACAGAACAATGCTGAGGTCTAAGAACAAAAAAACAGAATTATTGGCCAAGAGATACAAATATTCCAATGATAAAGAACCACATGTTATAATAGTACTTACTGCAATGGGATGCTATTGAGTTTACCTTTTATCTATCACTGTTACGAGGCATACATCTTATAATTCCTCCTGTAATATCCTTCACCCCTCCTCCACTTCAGGAACTACATGAAATTCAGTTCAGAGATAATCGCTCCGGTGAAACCTTCAATGACTTCTTCAGTTAGATAACCATTCCATCCTTGGAGTTCCCACTATACCTGTAGGTAGCACCTACCACTGTACTGTCACTAACTGCTCATGAGGCTGTCTTTTTCTACTGTCTAAAATCTCCTGAAGGGTAGGGGCCTTGCAATATTTACATGTTTTCTGTGCCTGGCAAGAGTGCTTAGCACACATAATCCTCAAATTCCTCTTGCCAAAATAACAGTATCACCATCATTCTGTTTTTACAAGGCTCTTGTATTTAGCTGTTACCTCTTACCCTTCATTAATATCTTTCACCCCCTTATATTGACAATATTGGCAACCAACTTACAATTTCTCTCCACCCTAAGTTTTGCCATTATTCTGGGTGATGTAGGTGTCTACTTGAATAATCCACCCCAATATTATATCCTCACTTCTTGACTTCCTCCTTTCTAATGACCTAATCTATTCTATCACAGCCACCCACTTCCATGGTCACACGTAGTTCTAGTCATTGCTCATAACTATTCCATTTCTAAAACCATCAATTCAAATACTCTGCACTGAGATCACAACTTCTTTCAGCTTGCTTGTTCAACCCCACCCACCATAATGGTCTTCGAGTTTACTGGAACCACTAGTTCACTGACCCCTATACATTCTCTCAAATGATTAGTCCTTTTCTTTTTAATTTTCCTTCTCTTATCCAGTTTAGGTACATAATCAACACTTGCCAATACCTTAAACTCATCCCTCTGGTTAGCAATCCCTCTAGTGAACCCTGGATAAAAACAACATTCTGAGTTCTTTTATCACAGTACCCCAAGAGCCAGGAAATATCTGAGGCAGTCTATCTACTAGATATTCATCATAACTAACCTCAAATGGGTCCTTACACTTCCTAGCAATCCTATTATACATATATATTTTGGTCAATTCACTTTATAATGACTATTTTAAATGTGTCTGCTTTCCTAAAACATCTAACCTTTCTCTTCTCTCTTTTTCAATTTCATGGAGAAAATAAACATCAGATGGGAAACATCGTCTTTCTACTACTATGAATGTAAATTTACTTGCATCACCCATCCTCCTCTATTAATAAAGTTACAATATAAGAAATAACCCTGAACTTTTCTGAGGTTAATCTTTTAACTGTATTTTGGATCCCATCCTCTTCTGCCTTCCTATAACCCTTACTACAAACTATCCATTTACTCTAGCATTGTCAATCTCTTAAATGGATGTTTTCCACTAATCTTTAATCATGTTTGAGTCATTTTCATTAAAGAAAAGACAAACAAAACATCTCAGTACAAAGTTCACTAGAAGTACCCTCTCTCAACTGCCCCAGAGTCAAGCTTTTGGAGATGTTCAAACTCACCATCTCCTTATCTGCATGCCACATAAAAATTCCCATCAGTCTACTAAAAGCTGTCAAAATGATTTCTAGAAGTCACCAATGATGTCTACAAGTCCCTGAATCCAACAAGAATTTTTCAGACTTCATTTTGCTTGAAGTCTCAGCAGCATTTGATACTGTTGAACACTTTCTCCTTCTTGAAATACTCTCCTTTTGGTTTCCGTAACAGAATACTATCCTGGTTTTCCTGCTTTTTCTCTAGCTACTTCACTTTGGTCTTCTATGAAGGCACATCCACCTCTAATCAGTCTTGAACTGATTAGGCCAGCTCTTCTTTTCAAGATATACTTTTTAGCCCTAAGTGATCTTATGTGTGTATACAGTTTTAATTTGCCACCTAAACAAAGATGACTTGAAAATTCCTACCTTTACATGAGATCTCCACTTTAGCTCCAGACCTAAATGTGTAACTACCTACTTGACATTTCAAGTATGCTTAAAAAATCACCTCCAACTCACACCTGAACCCACGTTCTTCACTCCCAACTGGATCCCTTTTTTGGTGTTTCATATTTAAGGGAATAGAACAATCCTTTCAGTTATAAACCTAGGCTCATTCTAGGTAGCTTTCTTTTCTAAATCCCTCACAATGAATCTATTATCAAGTCCTGATAATTTTATTTCCTAATTACCTCTCAAATTGTACCATTTTTCTTCTATCTTGACTTCTTGGCTCTCTTGGCTGAGTTACTGGCAACTGTTTTCTCAATATCCATTCCTGCCCTTCTCCAATCAGGTACCCACAACTCAATCAGAATACATTTTTTAACACTTAGATCCAATTGCTCTTAGAATGGCCACATGGGCCATCTTTTACTCCATCCTCACCATGCTTATAACTACCACCAAATCTTTACACCTGCTGTTTTCTCTGATAGGACTGCTTTCTCTCCATGTTAGCTTAACATCTTATCTTTCTGATTTTGGCCCAACTGTCATTTCTCAATAAAGTGTCTCCTGGCCTCCCTCAGGGGTCAAAAAGTGCTTCTAGAATTATCATGACACTTATTTTAAGTTTAATATTTTACTTTTAATCTGATTATGCTTAATGTGTCTTTCTCCCACTAGGTTATAAACTCCACGAAGGTCAAATATCTGGTTTTATTCAACATTGCATCTTAACACCCAGCATAGTAGATGGCATACAATAAGTGTGTTCAATAAATATTTGTTAAGCAAATGACCAGAAAGGGAGCAATACTCACTTGTTCATTCACTGTTTCAAAAGAGTAATATAATAACAGAATGTAGAGTAATCAGATTTCCACTAGATATGTTAACCTCTTTGAAATTTGTTTCAAAGTTAGATCTACTTAGGAAAAAAATCATACTTGCATAAACAAAAGCCATTTAGACAAGGTTTAAGTGGAAAAATGAATTGCTACATTTCATAAGCGGCATAATAGGGGGTTATGATACATTTTTTGAAAGTTAAGTCATTCATAAAATAAATAGCAAGTAATAAATTATGCATTAAAATATAGTAACAAATATTTCTAATTGCTGTAACCTGTAGGTGCATGACATGATTATATACTATTTGCTAACTGCTCTTAACCAAACTTGATTAATAAATTGCAGTGGGCAGAACTGGTCCTCAGTTACATTTCAATCTTGGGAAAGCTAGACTCCAATTTTAAAATTCCAATTAAGAAGTACTATGTTTGTCATTACTGCATAAGGGAATTCTGAAAAGCAAAGGGAATGCTTCATGTATTTAGTTTCATGCCAATGCCAAAAAATGCTTTTCTAGCTTATTAACTTTTCCAGTATTTGTTAAGCTTAATATACTAAAAAAATAAGTATATTCACTTCATGTAAAAATGAAACTATTACTTTTATTTTCCTCACACTGCCTGCCCCAAACACCTAGCTTTCTCCAAGCATTTAAATTTATTTTTGTAAAACTGACAAACAGCTACCAGTAGCCTTTTAGTTAGGATTTAAAAGGTTGCCAATTCATTTGTTACCCAGGAATTATGAAGCTGGTTGACAGATAACCCAGATGTCAACAAATAGGCCTAAAACACTCAGTATTGCCAGAAGGCCAATGTACTGCTTAAGGGCAACATGCTTTGGTGAATTCTTCAACCAAAAGCAAATAGAACTGTCATTGTTAGAAATGTGAAAAGAGTATAATATTGTTCAGGAGGAAAAGAAGGAAAGAGAAATAAAGTAAGCAAGGACAAAACAGGCAGAATAATGAAATGTGCTGAAAGAGAAGAGACAAAATGAAAAAGAAGTGGAAGGGAAGAGTTTGAAGTCAAAAATAGAAGGACAAAACTCTGTAGGTCATCATTAGCAAGACTGATAAGTCCAAGCTGAGTGCTTCCAAGCTGCAAAAGAATGCATTTAATAATCTATAAGAGGACAAGAAAAAGAGGTAAGACACACACATCCACACCCACACAAAATACATGCACTGAAAATGAGGTGTCGCCTAAAACCTAGGCATAGAGATGCCCTCAGTTAACCTGGCGAAATCTGAACACAGTAATGCAACCTGGATCAACTCTTAGGTAGACAGTACAAAAATACAATCATAAATAAATAAAAAGCTAATATACCTGACTGGGAAAAGAACATGTGAACATATGGGCAAGAGTCAACTTAAAACACAGGAAAGGGAACCACAAAGAGCAAAAGCTGGCAGTGTCTGAATCAAGAAGATTCCAAAGAAAGGTTCCCCAGCTCAAAGACCTGGGAACTCCAATTTGTACTGGAATAACTCAATTATGGG